GATGCTCGCTGAATCGCCCAGCCCACCCCTGTGCAGGACGGGGAGCACCTCTCTTCCTCTCTGCTCATAGCCGCTTTCTCCCGGCCCTCAGCCATTTTGGAGAGAGCAAAAAGTGGCTGCTTTCTCTCTCCCTCTCTCACTACGTGGCATAGCTTTAGAAAGGTTTCGGCTGCTGTGTTTGTAGCAGCAGAGAAGACACACTTTGCAGCTTGCACTTTGGGAGATATTATGTTTGCAGAGAAAAAATTCTGACGCGAAAACAAAACCCTTCCATCTCGACTTTTTATTTTTTAATGAATTTTTCCTTTTTTTTTTCGTTTCCCTTGAATTCAGCTGCTAAGCCTCTCTCCTCCTTGCTGTGCACTTTTCACTCATGCTGTTTCCTTTTCTTTAATAACTTGCGCTGTAGTTTTGGTGGCCGGTCCAATCCCTCTTTTCTTTTTTAAAGTCATGTTTTCTCATCTCTCAATTTGAGTTTTTTTTTTTATGTAACAGAGTTCAAGACAAAGGGATATGTCCATATTTTGGCAGCGCTAAGAAGAGACAGAGCAGCAGCCAAGGATCCTGCTGGGATCCAAAAAAGCCAAGCAGAATGAAGCACCAAAAAAAAAAAAAAAGAAAACACCACCCTTTCCTTTGCTTGGTCAGAAATTCCACTTTCTCTGTAGCCAGCCCTGCGCTGCCACTCCTCCTCATCCACATCTTACCGCATTCAACCTTTTGCCATTTCTCTCTTGCCGTACCTTTTTTTTTAAAGCCGATTTGAGGTTTTTGTACCCCGGAAAATGGGGACTGGACAACGGGTTATGAGTGCGTAACTAGGAGAGAACAAGGGGATGTTTTCTTCTTACTTTCGGTTGTGATTTAGCGTTTTTTTTTTCTGCTATTAGTGTTATTATTGTTGTGCTTCTTATAGTTTTTAGTCGTTTCTGTTTTTAAGGGTGTGCTTGGATCACCACGTGTTTGTGTGGTTTTGGGAATGTGTGTGAACGGGTGTATACTCCCTGTGAATGTTAGACTTGCTGCTCTGTTCCCAATCAGTTTCTGATGATTTACATTCTGCTTTTTTTGTTGTTGTTTTGTTTTGGGTTTTTTTTACATTTTTATTTTAGGTTTCTTGATTTCTCCTAAAGCGTTGGCCTACACTTCTCTTCGAGCCTGACTTCATCTGAGTGTAGAGGACGTTTGACCACCAGGTCCAGCTTATGCCTTACTGGTATGTTGGCGATTTACGAAACTTACAGTTTTCTTTTTGTGGAAGCGGTTCAAAATAGGGTCTAACCCACACAATGTGACGCGTGCGTGATTTTTATTTGATTTTTTTAAACTTTGCTTATTTTTCGATGGTGTTCGCTTTATGTTTTCTCTCCAGAAAATTTTCTAAGGTCCAGAGAATTGCATTATTGAATTTAATTTATTAGGTCATTGCAAATAAGAATCACTTTTATTTTTATAATAAAAAAAATACTTTGTATTTGGCAGCAGAGCGATTAAATGTGCTTTGTATTTTGTCTTTATTTTGTCTTATTTAAGAATATATAACTGCATGTGCTGGATGTGTTGTAGCATTTGCTTTTGCTGCTCTGTTGGAGACGTGGTACTTGTTTTTATTTTAATCATAGTGTGATATTTCATAAAATTCGTGCAGCGCAAATATGCCTTTTTATTCAGTGCAAATTCATTTTCTTTAGTAAAATATTTCCTAGCGATGTGCGTTCTTGTGTTCAGATGTAAAACTATTTACAGTATACTATCCTGACATTTCAAAATTATACCTCAAAAGAATGTGATCAGTGGGGTAAACACACAAACACCGCATCTATTACAGTCATGTGCCCCGGCCTGTCCTGTGTACCATGGCCTAATTTCCACGCTCATCTCTATTAGATGCTTAAAAAGGACACATTGTATTTCCCCACACTGAAGCAATCTTAAGAAGTACAAGAAGTGAAAAATACATGAAAGGATTGATACTCAACGCGTGGATTTATTCTTTAAATATCGGTGAAATAGACTAAACTTTTTAATGTTGATGCATATTTTAGTTGCAGAAAGACCTACATGCAATGAAAGCTGTGCCATGTTGAGCCTTATCAGAGTTACAGTGTTGTCCATTGTGGTTTGAACACCCAGTAAGAGGAGTGCCATGATGAATCAGTGGAGCTGAAAGCTTCAGACAGTAGAATGAGTTGTCTGCTTAAATGTTTGTTGATTTCTCTGCTTCTTATCCGCTCTCAAAGTGTTAATGCCAGCTGCCACGAACCCGTAGATCCGAACTTGTGGTGACTGGCTGCACAAGCTCGTATCTATAGGTATGTGTCTTCCTGGTAAAAACAGCATCTGCCCAGTGCTTTTAAGAAAGGCGACTAGATCACTGGAATTATTTTGGAAGCAGGTTTTGACTGGATAACCATAAAGAGTGGCATTTCTTAATCCTTGATTCCCACAATTAAACAGCACTGACCCTGCGTGACCCTGTATCCTAGGATGCAGGATATTCTCTACCAAACTTATCCCACGTGTGCCGCCTCGATGCAGTGACCCCACCCAAATTTGTGGGTTGGGCTAAATGACGATGTGTCACAACATTGTACATGACAGACTATCTTTGGCCTCTACGTCAGTGTTGCAGTTAAGTAAGGAGGACGACTTATTGGTGAAATTTTTCTTCAGTTTCTGGTAAAATAAAATTACATTGCTTGTGGTAGTTTTGAACTGCTCGCCCGGCCCTACAGGGCAGCCATGCTGCAGCTTCCTCCAGTGTTCCGCAGGTTGAGGTAGTAGGTTGTATAGTTCAGAGTGACACCACAGGAGATAACTGTACAGCCTCCTAGCTTTCCCTGAGGAAACACCACACAATCTGTACACTGATGGATTATTTCATAAATGCCAACATCTGTGCAATATTTGTGTATGAGAGTTTTATCGCCTGGTTGTAAACACAGCTTCTCTGTCAGGTGGTTTTGTGTCTGTTTCTTAATACACTGAAATTTCTTCTGTTTAATTCAAAGTGTTGTTTTGGGGTTTTTCGTTTTCTCCTTTAAGCAGATATGGGAAGAGATAAAGATATTTTGCTAAAGACTTGCATGAACATGGCAAACACTGCATCTCGTTTGACACTTGGAAAACAAAGTTGAAACAATGACAGCACAGATTAGGGAGGGGGGGCAAAGAGAAATCATTTCAAAATATGAGGAAAAGCACTAGCATGCTGCTGCAGTGATGTTTGCGGGACGCTCTAATGAAGGAGATGTCACTGAAGGGAAACACACCATACAGCCGCAGGGGAAGAACAAGGTCTTGGCGGCCAATTATGCACAAAGTTCACTTTCACTTAACCAAAACGATATACTTCCTCTGCGCAGCTATGTGGTAAAGACACTGCTGTGATCAAAACAGCCAGTAACAACTTTCACTGCTTCAAACCAAGAAAACCACAGGCCCCTGAAATTATCTAGGTTCCTGACTGCAATTTAGAAATGCGCTGAATTACTTCTTAATTTTGGCTGTGTTCAGTTTCTCGGGCTTCGTCTCAGACCGTGTGACCTATATCTGCTCTTCGGGCATATTTTCATTGCATACTTTTGATCTCTGTTGGATACTACATTTTTTTAAACTCCCACTTTAAGGTGTTGGCATAGACGCTGCCAGCTATGCATACACAAGAAATTAATGAAAGTGTTGTTATTTAATTTGTTTTAACTGTTTGGGGAAATATGGATCTTTATGAGTAAAAAGCAGTTTTTAGTTGTCCTGCCATGAAAGTATTTAACGTGCACGTAATCTGTTAAGCCTGAACTGTAAATATACATTAGACACTGGATGTAGCGCTGCTAGGTTAGAGATGGTATCCTACTCCTGTAGTGCGGTATGCTGTTGTGTACAGATGTGTAGTGCGGGGAGTGTCATGATGATGAAAGACTGTTTCCACTTAAACTCTATGCTCTCTGTCCTAAGGCCACCGGGTTCGAAAGAGATGGGGTAAGGAGCTCTTTGGGCCAGAATGAAGAAGGGGCCCTTGGTACGGGGCAGCTTTTGCAAGAGCGCAAGCATTCAGTTACAGTAGATACAACGTGAATCGACTGTTGGGTTTTTCACTGTGCCTAATTATCCTTGCTTACTTTTTTCTCCCCCTCACCCTTCTTCTAGAAAAGCGTATTCACACTTCTTTCTGTGCTCGGTGGTTTGTTGTTGCCATGTGGTAGTGCATTACATTATACAGCAGGAGGCATAAAGGAGCTCTCCCTGACTGACCCCCCACCCAGCACACACGGCCCACCATCGCTGTGGAATCTGTGCAGGTTTTTTGTCTTCTTTGGAAATTTCTATAAATAGTCCCGGTTGACTCTTGTCGTGTTAGTGTGCGAAGACAAGGTGGAAGTAAAACTGAGCATAAATGAAGGGACCCTTTGCCGCACTGAAGCGCACGTGATGCCTTTCAGACATCGTGACATGTGATGTCCGCGAGCAAGGAGAGATGCCTTAAAAGTGAATTTTCGATTCAAAAAAACGAAGAAGAAGAAAGAAAAGAATGAGGCTCTAATGATACAGAGAGAAATACAGCAAAATGTAAATGAGAGCTGAAGAAGTGAGAACTGTCTGCCTGATTTATTATTTTTAAATTGACTTCAAAATAAAAGAATGACCTATTTAAACCAGCAGGGGGAAAGGGTTGGGGGGCGATAGTGTTGAGACCACACAGGCCATTTTTCTGCTGTCACTGATCTCAGCCTATTGTGCGCTGTCCGTCAGAAGAACCCTGGTAATTCCCTCTGCTCCCCATTTGTCTCGCTTTCCTACCATCTTGTCTCGTGTCTTCCCCCCCTCTTTTTTTTACAAGCCTTTTCCACTGCTTTACAGTGACTAATACTGATAAAATATAAGACCACCACACACACCACAATGCTTCCAGTTACATTTCCTTTGAAGCTCCCTGAACTGGTGCGTTCACTCTCTCTTGCTCCCTCCTTTTCTCTTGTTCCCACCCTCCTTTTCTCCATGAAACGCACGCTGTAATACCCAGTCACTCACAGACACAGAGGGCGAGAGACACAGGAACAGAATACTGGACATGCTACTGGAGCAGGATTTTTCTTTTTGTTTGCCTTAAATGAAAAAGGAGCTTGAAAGAGACATTGTAAGATAAAACTGTGACTTCCTATTTGACTGTCTTTGCCTTCTCGTTGTGCTACTGTATGCTTTTGTTCTCTTCACGTCTCTCTCCCTCATTTCTCTACCTTCCCTTATCTCTCTTTCTCCATATACTAGGCCTTTTGTCTGTGTAATTTCAGCTGTGGGGAGGGAAATGAATGGGTGATATTTAGTTCCTTTCCCACACTGCTACTGCCGTTTTGATTCTATATGTAACAAACAGAAAAAAAAGGGGCAAGCAGAGGCTCTTCGGTTTTTCAGCCTTGGGGACTTGAGCCTGCAATCTATGAAGCATGGAAGGCAGAGGAGGGAAAGAAAATACAGAGGCACAGACACAGGCCGAGAGGTGTGATACAGCGAGACTAAAGCACCAATCAAGTGCAGAAAGAAAATATGAGACAGATGAAGCCAAGAGACGAACAGACAGACAGACAGAGGAAGAAAAAGATGGGTAGTAGTGTCACATGGAGAAAGGGCTGAGCAGCAGTAGGCAGAGGGACTACAGCAACAGGCGTTACACATTTTTTCCTATTATTCACTCCTGTCGCTGTTTTGGCACACTGTGTCTCAGTCTTTTTTTTTTTCACAGCTACTAACCAGATCTGCCAAATTCTGACGGTAACCTTGTTTTTGATTTCTCATGTAAAGCTGTGACTCATATGGGGGAAGCTTTGGGGAAAGCTGAGATTGTACATTATTGAATGTGCGGGGCGATGAATATGCGCTTTAGTGCAGTAGAGCTCTTTTTAGTTAAAAATCAGACGTCTGGGGGGTTAAAATATTACTTTATCACTCTCTAAAATCCTGTTTTTCTCTTTCTGGATGGCTTCCTGTCATTTGCTCTTATTCTCTTGTATTAGTCAGCATACGTGTAACATTACTGGGCTGTGGTTTTGCTGTTTATTTTTGTGATTTTTACTGTTGGACCCAAGCTAAATAGAATATTTTTTCAATTCTTATGCTGGTTTCTTTTTCATGGATTGTTTTTGATTTATTATTGTGCATTTTTCCTTCCCCTGTAATACTAAATGTATTGTTGTCTCAGTCACCCTCACTGCTTTTCTATTCTATTCTCTTTTTCCCCCCATGTTCACCTACATTAAATCGTTAACCCAACATCTGCCCTCCCTGCCATCTCTCCCTTCATGTCTCTGTCTCCTTCTCTTTCTCTCTCTCTGGCTGCACATGGTACAGTCTTGCATGTCTGAGCAGCAGACGGCTAGACGGCAGCAATCTGCTAGAGCAGGCTCATGTGCTAGCCCGAATTATCCATTCAACAAAGCCTGAGCTAGCAGCACTAAAATCTTCCCCTATTCTTCTCTCCAGCATTCATTTTTTTCTCCCCTCTCTCTCTCCGATTTGTGCCCTGCTACATCCTCTCTCCCTTTGCTAGGCTGACCGGCACAGGCGTACAGAGAAGACTGCGGCAGCCTCCGCCACCTCGGTCAGCTGGGTGAGTTTTATCTTCTTTTTTCTTTTCTCCTTCCTTGCATCTCATCTTACCGCTCCTCCCAGCCTCTTATTCCTCCTCCTCCTCCTCCTCTTCATCTTGTGGGTAGTCAGATTTTATTCTGCGACCTGACAAATGAGCTTTCCCTCCATAAAGTCAAGGCGGCATGATTGACAGGTGCGGTCTCAGAGGACTGACAAGCCTGGCATGTCACGAGATCTCACTGGCATAGAGGGAGTAAGTGGTAAGGAGCTTGGACTTTTTTAGTATTAAGGGTGTATTTTTATCAGCGTGAGACACTGGCGTCAATTTGTAGTCTCTGCTGCTGTAGTCATCTGGCTGCTGCTGCTGCTGCTGTATGCGTTCTCAGTGCGGGGTTTGGAAAAATATCAAAGATGTTTTACACAGATTATTATTCTAGGTTTGGTCAGGTTGTGACAGGGAGGCAGAGCTATCCTTATGATTAGTGATGGTAAAGTGCTTCTGATTGGGTGTGTATGGCTAGAGTACAGTGTGCACAGCATGAGTCTGTTCAGTTATCATAAGATTATATATGGTTAGGTTTTATATTACATTTTCAGCGTGTGCTTACTGATGCATATCGATCTTTTGACTCATATATAACGATTTTGTTTGTAAATGTGATCATGGATGAGCTAAATGCTAACGCATGGTGGGGTTGTGCATTTTACCGAGACCAGACTCGACTTAAGGGGCAAAACTGAGACTTAAGGTAGAGCACCGCACAAATCGAGGGATAGAGGGAGCTGTTTCAGTCTCAGCCACAGTGCTCGTGCAGCAGATGATCTGCTGTACGTTGCACAGAAAAGGCCAGACCAAAAAAAAAGAGCAAGCTGTACCTCTCTCATTCCCTGAGACCCTAACTTGTGACGTTTTGCTGTGATGTGCACGGGTTGGGTTCTTGGGAGCTGCGAGGGGCACTCACACATCTCTAACTCAGAACAAAAAAAGGAAAAGGCTTAACATGGCGGAAAGACACAAAGCACGATGAAAAAGGAACAGTTTCGCCTTTTCATTTATTTATTTATTTATTTTTAATAAAAACTAGACACGGTGACATAAGGTTCATTTAATCCACGAATAGTGCAAAAATAAAGCGCGAAGGGAATGAAAAGTACGAACATTGGGTTTCTTTCAGGATATTGAGAGTCTGAGAGCCAGAGGCAGGCACAGTGTGCAGGGCACTGGGTGGGGGAGAGGGCGGGGGAGTGGGATAGATAGAGAAATGTGGGTATAAGGGGCATGTGACTGAGAGGGGGGAGGGACGTCCAGATGAGGTGGGGTGACATGGTGAAAACACCCACATTTACAAAATCCTTGGTACAATGAATGAATGAGGAATTTGTGAGTTAGGTTACACCCTCAGTGACTAATGTTGCACATGCTAGCATAGACAAACCACACAAGAACCGCACCTCGCTGTTTAACCCTGCGTCATAAACCGTATAGTCATACATTTAAAGAAACATGATGTTGACAAAATAAATGTAATTTATACGCAGCGGGGAGGAAAATTATAATATAAACAGCATAACTTGAACACACAGCAAAGTGCAAAATGAAAGTCAGTGCTTTAGGGTATTTTATTTCCACTACTCAATCCGCAGGCTCTTCATGCCTTATCTTGAGAGCAGCACAAAGTACTAGTGAGAGCGTGACTCTGAAAGCTCAGTACACTTGTGTTTGACCTCATGAAAATAATCGTCTTCCTTTTTCTATTATATCATCGATACCTACCCTTACCTGCATTCGGCCCGCTGTTTTTTTTTCTCTTCTTGTTACAAGCGAGTGTGAAGATAATGGTGCAAAACAGAATTACACAGTCGAGTGGGAATTGTAAGACACCTTGGCGTGCATGTCATAAGGTGACCCCCTCATCAGCTATGGATGAAAGGACAATTGTAGCGGCTCTCAGGTGCATTAAAAGGCTTTTATATAGTTTGTTCTGTGTTTCAATGGGCATCATTGGAGAGTAGGATGAGTGTGGCAGAACTGCTTCCTGCTTTGACGCATGCGTGACAACTTCAGGTGTCAAACTGCTGAGGACTAACGTACAGTCCTCTTATGTTATATGTTTTCTATAACTAACATCCTTTGTGTCAAAATATGCACAAACGTGCGTCTGTTTGCGTAGTCGATCGGCGAACGCAGTAACGGCTTCGTTCTTCCTCTCCTTTTATTCATACTTGGATGTCCCCCTTTTGCATATCGCCTTCCTCCTCCTCACCCGCTGTGAAGTTGCTGCAAGTTTTCCAGGGAGCTTCAGCAGCATTTGAACCGGGATGCTGTTTGATGTTTTGTCCTCATTCTTTCATTAGCGTGGATGGGATGTGATTATGTGCTTGAAGGACAGGTAGCTTTGAGCTCCGATTCTTTTTCTGAACCTTAATTTGAAGCTGTGTTTCACCATTTCTAACTCTAGCAGCAGCCTTTTTTTTTCTTTTTTTTTGGTCCATACAGCATCCTTGAGGAATTTTGAGATTCATTAAATCGGGCATTTTTACTATGCGGTCAAACACTCTTAATGAGCAATGACTTCTGTAAATGTGCAACTCATTTGCATTGTCACGCACTTCATATCTTATTGAGCGCTTTTGTCCTCTGCCTGGTTTCAGTTTACTGTGTGAGGATGAAGCTGGAAGTAAGGATGCAAGCAGCATGTGATGCAAGTTAGCCAAGTTTGTATGAGGGTAAAGAAGCAGAGCATGCTGATAAATAATTAACTACCCTGTAGAGTAAAATCTGACTTGCTGATTTCTTGAAGATGTTTTATCTTTTGTTAACTTGAATCCACTGCTGCAGACAGCTCCATATATTGAGGACGTTTTCGCTGTAATAGTTTGTTTAGAATAAGAAAACACTTTTTATTCTCAGTATTATCCCAACACTGTGATTTCCCATGTGTCTACAGAATATGCCCGCCACACACTGGATGCACATGGACGTTGTTTTCTGAGCTCATCTGGTCAGCCACTCATGGCCTTCATTTAGCCCCAAAACAATCAATGAAAATCAGGCTTGAGCATCTAGTCCATCTATTTGATCCAAATTAATTCCTAGATGGGCGTCCATTGGACTAAATATAACTGTACAAATATGATCACACCTCACCCAGCACGAACTGATTGAAAAGGGGCAGAAAAAACAACTTTGACAGACGTCTCAACAACTTTAAAACATGAAAGGTAAGAGTAGCTTCTTTAGGTCAGAGGGAAAGAAAAGACACTTAGAAAAGCGTTCCTTCACATTCAAACTTAGTTGAAAAGAGAATGATGATGATGATCTTTTCAGGGCATTGAAAAGATATTTCTATGCATATAAAACTACTGAGTAATTTTCTGTTCTTTACAAGTCTAAAAGACATTTAAATAGTACACAGCTATTTAGGATTTCATCATTTAAAATCTAGTTGAATAGTGAAAGTGCTGTAGATGACTAGATTGTATAGTTGCAATAAGATACACATACATACATGTCCTAGGTGTGCTGTGACCGCTATTTTGGGCTATAGCAATCTGGAAATGTTATGTATATGCCTGCATAGCATGTAGAAGCTAAATGTGGTTCACCTTTAAACCAGTTACTAAATGGCTCCCTTTTTTTCCACTGTGAATCCACATTTAACGGTGCTTTGGTGAAAATATGTTATATAATAATGCTGGGTGCTACATCCTTGACTGTAGCTCTGCAATCAGCAAACTATTTTAGCACATTCAGTAGATTTCAGGTGTGCGTGCTACATATTGACACTTGTTTCTGCTCAACTCTGCTGGTGAGCTCAAGTCTTTTGATGCGGTTGGGTTTATTTCTCTATCAGTCCCAGTCTTTGGAGATCAATTCCTAGTCTGAAATAGGATCAAATTTTCAAAGGCATGTGTCTTAAGGTTGGTTACCTTTCACCTTTGACTTTTCAATCACATCTCGATGTTTCTTAGAACCCTGCAAACATGAACTTTTTAAGTGTTTTTCCTGGGAGTCTGTTTATTCTTCAGGTTTTGTTTTTTAAATGTAAATGTGGTAATGTGATTTTTTTTTCTCAGTTTAGTGGGGGTTCCTGCATGGAGCAGTGCATTTGCAGCAGTAGGTTATGGTGTCAGTGTTCACCTTGTTCAGCACAAACATGGAAAGGAAGATTAGTTTAGACAGGCGGCGAGAAGGAAGGAAGAAAGATGACTAGTTGTAGAGTGTTTGATTGTTTTCTGCCATATATATATATATATATATATATATATATATATATATATATATTTATTTATTTATTTATTTATATACTGTATGCACTGTATCTGATTGGTGTCATTCACCCACAGTTGTGGGCACACCATGTTTTTTAACCAGTCCTCTATGCATGATTATAATTTAATCAAAGCAGTAGTGCTGTGCGATACTGAAAATGTTGGTACTGATCCAACGCCAAATAAATACAGGCCGCATACTGCCGGTAACAGTACCAATACTTTTAATCTATGAAGGCAGATTGTGGAGGGGAGAGCAGTGTGTCATCATTTATGAGAAGAATGTGATAATTCTGAATGCATTTTAATGACCACTAAATAACTCTGATTTTTACTTTCCACGATAATTATCCAACGCAGTAAAACACACCTTTTCAGCTTTTCATGCATTCTGAAATTTTTGACGACCCTGAAGCGTCTACCTCTGTTGTTTAAATGTGCTTTAGGCTCTAAATAAAATAGATATGGCAGTCAACAAAAAAGGTTCCCACATTTTTCATAGTGCATGTTTGAGGTATATATTTCTAAAGAAATTATTTCTTTAACACAATTTAGCGGGCTACGTAGAGAACGTAGAGGATAGAGACGAGTATCGATGCTATTGCGCTGGTATTGGTATCAGATCAATACCAATACCAGCGCAATAGCATCGATACTGGTATCAATACTATTGATATTTGGATCGATAGTGATTTAGTGAAGCAGCAGGTAACAGTTCCCTGAGGTTTATGTGGATTTAAAGGTGCTGAATAAAGAGCTGATACTGTAAGTTACAAAACCATACACTGTGCACTTACTGTACTGTAAAACTCTTTAAATCTCATCAATTTAGAGTTTTTTTAAAAACTTTTTTTTAAATCTCTAAATATGTGAATAAACGTGTCTAATGTGAGTTATTAGTATATGTTGGGAACTGCAGATGTATCAGCTCTATATCTTTCTTCACCAGCCATTTCCTGCTCTCACCCCTTACGCTGTGACCTCACTGCTGCACTCTGAGTCCTGAGATGCCCTCTGATCGCTAGATGAGAGGCAGGACTTGAATTCAGCTTACTCTTTGTCTGCTGGTTGTTACACTAGCTGCTCCAACAGCAGCAGGAGCAGGTGTGTCTACCTCCTGTGCCATTCCTCCCCCCCCTCTTCCTGTTCCTTCATCACTGCAGTACGGCAGCTCTGTCTGGGAGGCAGCCATTCCATTGTTCTCGCACCCCCCTCTACCTATGAGTGCTCCTGTAGGTGCTGGTGCCGCTCTGCCCGCCCCACCCCACCCTGTGGAACAGGCTGGCTCCAAATCACTGTTATACTTTTCACTTACGTGCCCTGAGTAGGTTACGCTTATGTCTTTCTGTCTCTTCTCTCCCTGGACAGAGCTTGCTACACTCGCTGCTGCACACCGCCGCCATCTTGTTACTGCCTGTGCTACTGGTCTGCCTGCCTTTGCTGCACTCAAACCAAATCATCAAACTCAGCCTGCGGTTGTTTCCATGCCACTCCTGTTTGTGCGCAGCTTTGTCACAACACAGTGCTGCGCACCAGCTACCGGACGCATGTCGTTGCTGCACAGACGCACCTGGAACTTTTATCTGGGTGTTTCTTTAATAGCTGCCACAGATTGGATGCTGCAGACGGTGTTGTCAGCATCTCTCAAACCATCAGTAAGATCTGTACCATTGTAACACACACTATGCCCGATGTAGATTTAGCTAAGGACTTGACATGCCGTACACCATTAAAACAAGTAAAAATAAGTGAAATGTTATTTTACAAATTTACAAATGATTCAAAGTGGCATGTCTTCTTCGCAGGATTTAAGAAAATTGCTCCCGTCGAAGAAAATCAATAACCACAATCTGTCCCTTATTCTGTGTATATATTTCTCTCCAGAGCCCATATGCCTGAGCACATATACTGTATATGCTATCTTTGTGAGCTTGTGTGCTGTAAAGAGAGGGTGGGAAAGAGAAAGGAGGGGAGTGAGAGAGAAAGAGAGGAATCAAGCGTCGGTAAGAAAGTCTTCCTAATTCTGTTTGGCAGAAACTGTGCTGTTTAACCATATGTGCAGAGAGCAGGCTTTGCACATGCTCAGAATGACTCAGAGGACACGACTTTCACATGTCTCAACGCAATTAGATTAACTAATAGATAATTTTCCAGCAAATATAAATAAGTTACAGTGAAGTCATAAATAATTTAAAAAGTGTGCACTCTACCTTGAATTATTTTTGTTGTACTCACAGTATGAGGTTAAAACATGGGCATTAGAAGGAGAGCGGGATACAAACACAGCAAGTATATTCCAGCTTATGGAAATCTTATTCCTGCATTTAACTGTGCTTTGGTGCAAAACAAGTGGAAGTGTGTAGGTGGAGGCCACAGTGATACAGCAGTGAGTTCAGAAGGTCTTCAATCCTCTAAGACTATATGCCAAGAAGACACCATGCTAATGAAATCATAAAGACGGTGAAGAAAACAAGCTGTCCCTGGAGAATACATCCATGCATCGGAGGTTGCCAGTTTTACTTTACTTGCTTCTGGGTATGCATGTACTGTAGCTTTGCAGTGATACTGTATTTATAAGGTCAAAGGCTGCTTTGCTTCAGGGTTAAAATGCTCTCAGCCTTTATCTTATGATTACCTTCATCAGGTCAGTGAAGATCACCCTTTGCCCCACCAGCTGAGTGGGACAGCGGGTTACAAGAGGTATGCAAATCACAGTAATATTTATTATGTATAACAAGGAAGAAAATGTAAAAAAGAAGAAGAGTTTAAATCACTGCTGATATTCCTATGAAATACAGGGTACAATTAGAATGAGATAGAAATGATCAAGATGCAATTAACGTTCATACTTTAAATATTGGACAGAAATATGACGTTGAATAATTTTGGCCACTTTTATACACAGTCCGCCATCTTTAGGTGCTTAAATGCAGTCGAACGAACGCTCGTTATAAGTTGGGGGCGGTTACAGTTACAGAACCAGCAGTTCTGGCCTATTCAGAGAGCTCAGGTGGTGGAGCAGGTGGTGGAGCAGGTTTGGGCAGGACACTGAACCCCTAGTTGCTCTCGATGGCAGATGAGCTGTCTGAACACGTGTGGCCTATAAATGCCGATCGTCTAAAATTTGTACTTTTAATACTTTGTCAGGAATCATTTGCGGGCAGTCTGATTTCTGAAACCTTTGGATATTAATGCTTCTGCGTTTCTGCAGTTGTTTGTTTACGCGTCTTGTTATCAGGGAGTGAAATTCATACTCAGTCAGACTGAGATTGGCCGAGAAAGTTAAATCGTCTGCATCATGGTTGACTATAATCAATGCTGACATTGCTTGTTGTCCTCATTGTGTAAGGACGGAATCATTAGAAACACCAAGTAACAGCGTATTACGTAGAGAGCAAAGAATTCGTAGTTTATCGAGCTACCAGGTCTCACGCAGAGTTAACTTTGAATTGATGATTAAAAGCAAACAATAGTCAACTGATAGTTTTCATGAATGTTATTAATCTAGTTTAAAATTTCAAATTCAGTTGGAGTTTCAGAGACTTCAGAGCAGATCGCTGAAACAATACCGAAGCAATATTGCTGCATTTTAAATCCGTCCGTCCAAGTCATCTTTAGGCAAAATGCAGGATATACTGTGGACTCATTACCAGTCTATCACGTGGCTAATACAGAACACTTGCAGTCCATCAGCTAAGAATGGCTGCATGATTAAATCCCATTTAGAGGAATTATTCACTGTCAAAAAGTCCAATTTATGCAGAAAGCACATAAGAGCAAATATGAATTTCTTACTGGAAGGTAAGCTCCATACTGGAACATCACAATACAAGTTCAGAGAGCCTGTCCAATGAAATAATTCATTATAATCCAAAGTGAGCCTTCATCAGCCTGGGAGTTGTCCTGCTATGTTTTTATTATCCAGTTAACAGAAATAAAGCCCTCAACTCTCCGGCTTGAGTAATGACGTAAGCAGTTAACGATTGGAAGAATTTCTTTTTGGACAAGAGCGGAGGACGTTGATCATTCAGGGTCAACAATGAGCGCCTCATTTGTTCTTTTTTTCCCCATTTGTAGTATAAATAGAAGCAGTTCAGCCTTCAGTGGAGAGTTTGTGGAGCATACTTACTGAGTGTCGAATGCAAAGATGTTGCATTCTTTATTATTCCATATCAACTGTCCTGGAATCCGTTACACCATTTCCCAGAATTGCAGTCCAAAAAGTATGTAAATCCCAGCTGGGAATGGGTGTAGAATCCCAAGGTTTGTGCACGTGACATGAACTATTCATTCTTCCTCTTTTTCTGTCAAAGCATGACTTCTTAAAAAGAGTTACAGGTGTATCTGGGCCCACCTTCTTGTTACATATATATAATGCACAGCTGTCAAAAGTAAATAAAGTAGAAATCACAAACGTCCTTTGTCAGGTGTTCACATTTAATTGCTCCTTCAGAAATAAATGCAAAATCTTTGGAAAACAGGATAATCTGCTAACAAGTGCCATTTCCTTACCCAGAGGACCCATACTTGAGACTTTGTTTCTCCCAGAATACAATGTTTCCTCATTTTCAGTGAGGAACCAACCAAAAACCAAAAGGTTTTGACATTCATTGTTCTCCCAGAAGATGCATCTGCAGGCAATCCCTAACTTTCTCCTCTAGTGCTACCAGCACAATGATGTACAGGTGTATGTGGTTTTAAAATTCATAAGTCACCAAATACTGGATGGATTTCCATTAAAGTTTGTGCCGATATTCATATCCTTCAGTGTACCTGTCTGCATTTTTTTAAAAAGTGTCCTGTGTTCCAGTATTTTGGCTTGCGATTAAACAACTGCAAAGCTAGTGATTTGCTGCATTACTTACATATTGCAGTCATGAATAAGAGAAGAGACTAGTCTTTCCTGGTAGACTGCAGTGAATTATCTTCACAGCAGCAGAGTAGACATAGATTGCATGACATGGTGCAGTTTACACATGGAATGCAGAAAGATTTCAGGCACTGAGTGATGAAGGCCAGATGTTTGAGTTATGCATAGGAAGTCAGTGGCCTACAGTTGGTACTGTATGAAGCGATGATGCCAGAAACCATCGCCGGCATATACCATGTAATTAAATTTAAGGAAGCCCACTCACATATTACAGCTTGTATATAAACGCAATACATGTTCCAGGTTTGAAAAAAACAGACATCAAAAAACATTACATAAACACAAGTGCCTAAATAAAAATAGAAACGGTATATGAGTAAGAGGTGTTGCTTATGATTCACCTGGTTACAGTTTGCATAGCAACTAATTCTAGTTTTTTTATATATATATATATATATAAAGTTTTGCTCAAAAATAAAAAATAAAGAAAAGCTTAAGAGTCTGAGAGGTTGTTGTGAATGTTGTGGATTTAATGATTGGTCAAAAATAAATAAAACATAAATATAAGCGAGGTCATTATATCGATATCTTCAATTTTGTCCTTCATTTGTAGATGTTACGGAAATTAATCTTTTTAAACTTGGAGAAAAGAAACAAGTTCAAAAGAGGACTTGTTTACCAGAAAATATTCCTTGCACATTGATTTGCAGCACGCAGTGTGGTTACATTATTAAACTATAGACACCCAGCAATGGTAAATATATACTGAAACTTACCTCCTCCTCCTATAGACGGTTTTCTCTTGTTCTTTCTCCCTCCTTTTTGTCTCGTCTTGCACACAGTTACACATGCACACTCCCAGCCTGTCTGCGTCTCACACTCAAACACGCACACACACACACACGCACACACACGCACCGTCTTTTGTTTGGAGTCAGACGGCATTGAAGGCAGATCCTGTGGCCCTTCTGAGGAGAATGTTAATATGCCCGCTCTGGTCTCTCTGGGGACGCAGAGAATGGACTCGGGCTGCTAATGCACTGTCACACTAACCCCGCTAAGTATTCTCACAGTTAGCAACAGCAGCGCTGCTCCCAGAACTGAAATGTATTTAACTAAACTCGCAACCTACTGAATCGTAAAGACTTACTTTAGATTGTCCTTTCACAAATAACTGCCTCATTTGCCCACCTTTCTGTGCCTGCAAACAGAGATATGGCAGGGGGGCTATTTGTTGAGTGCAGTTAGACTTATTTCACTTTCATTAGCACTTTATTTATGTGGACTCATTAGGGGCAGTTTGCTCCCCCACACTGAGGTAGGCTTAATGGATTATACTAACGACCTACACAAGCACACGGTATTCAGTTACATGTAGAGTTTAAACAAGTCAAATTATCTTTAAAGAGTTTGGGCTCGGTATCGTTTTTGCTAACTTTGGCTAAAGGATGTATTTTTGCTTGTGGTTCAGTGAAATCCTGCTATTCGAACTGTGGTCACCTGAGTGGAAGGAAAATGTTCCCCACTTACCAAACTGGTGTGAGGAGTAACTATGTTTTCATTTATGTCATGAATAAAATAAAACTATTTTTGCTATTTAAGAGCAGTAAAAATGAAAAATAAATTAATAACATTTACTTCATGTTGTATATTGGCTGTGGTCATTGGATCACAGTTGCATGCAGTAATAGTCAAAGGATATTTAAGGTATTACTATATAAACTATGTATTATCATGGATTAAATATATTATATAAGACATTTTATTTTGTGAGCAGTGTTTTCCTTTGATAATGCTGGTTTAGTACTTTAAAACTCTAAACTATGATCAAGATCCTGTTACTCACTACTTTTCGAGCTGTCTCACGCAGTGAGCAGACTGTGGATCATTGACATTGCTGCCTTGATTTCAGGTGTCGACGTGCATCAACATGCGTCAGCGCTTTAGAAAAGCACAGTTTGCTTCCTAGGGTCTTGACTACTCAACAAGTCCTCTGTCAAACCGATTATATCGGCTCTTTTTAAAATCTGACACAACCCTGAAACAACATATAGGAGTAGTGCTATTTGCTAAAAACAAATCCACCTCACCTTTGACCAGGAAAGCAGAGTTTGACTCTCATCTGAGACAACTTTCACTTGTGGTTTGCTTTCATGTTTACTTATTTGTTACGGGAGGATTCCGGGTCACCTGCACCAGCCTTAACTGTAAGTTTTATCAAAAAGTAAAGTTTCAAGCCAAATCACTGACATTGTAATTTTGGTTAAAATATACATAAATAAGATCATTTTAATATGTTAAAGCATTTTTCACATTTCAACATGCTGTAGACCCTTCTGAAAGCGGAAGAAAAAAAGATGAAAAGACAACGAGGCTGGCAAAATGGAGAACATTTCCACCTGAAGCCGCTAACAGCATCCTCCATGATAATTACTGTCTTTGCTGTTATGACCTATTTTAGGTTTGAGATGCTTCTTTTCAGACTATTTAGTTACTGGTTTTAAACCCAATTTGCAAAACAAATATCAATTCAAGTCATGGTGGAATTTTTAGCACCCATTCAGTCACTGGCCGTTTTGCATTAATAGTCATGTTTTTGTCGTTAATGGTAAACTTTTCAGCTCTATGCTGCGTGTTGCAGCTTTTGCTTTTACAGGTTTATTACTTTTCCTCCTGTTTTCTGGCTGTGAGCAAGGAAAATGCAGCATTGCACTATCTGTCCCGCTCCCCACCCCATCTTGCTCACCAACTGAAGCCCTTTCATAATGAATGGCAAGGTGCTATAATAGCATTCAGGTTGCCATAGAAATGAGACTGGGGCCTGCATGTGATCCCCCCGCCCCTCCCTTCCCTTTTTCTTCTTATTTTGGAGTAAGGACTGAGGACTCTGAGGTAAACTCTTCCTAAGCCCATCTTTACAGTCAGCTTGACATTTTACCTCCTTTGGGCTGCTGGGCCTATCTGATCTGATTTGTTAAGTTAATGTAATTGATACAAGCGACAGAACACATTCCTTCAGGATCCAACAGTGTTTTTCACTCATTGCTTGCACCTTAAACAGCCTGGATAGTTTTATCCCACATAAATGAAGCTGATCTGTGGCAATGCAACTTCAAAATGAGTCTGGTCTCACTGTCATTAGCTGCGATGTGATTTTTCTGGCTTTGTTCTCAGACACTATTGTTTTTTTCTCTTTAGCCAGACTTTCTCCTATTTCCTGCTCATACAACAACTTTATGGTTTTTTCCACTTAAGTAAACATGTTTCATTATATAGACGAATGGAAATTATCCAGATTGTCACAAGCCTGTTGATTTAGTCTGTGTAGGTTCTCAGTCATACAGGTCATGGTAATCAAATGAGCTTGGAAAGAAAAGCAACTGGACTCATTTATGCTTCTTCAAAGTCACTGGTACAGATATGTGGATGACACTTGGGTCAAAATCAAAACCCAAGAAGTGGAAGCCTTCACTGTTCACATCAACTTTGTGGATAGAAACATAAAGTTCACCAGGGAAGATACAAAGGATAAGAGTTTGTCATTTCTGGACTGTGCAGTGTGAAGTTTACCTGAAGCCCCCCACACATGGGCCAGTACCTACTCTTTGACTCCCACCACCTTCTGGAACAAAATCCTGGAGTAATCAGGACCCTACAACACCGGGCAGAAAATGTTCCCTCTAAGCCAGAAAAGAAAAAGAGGGAACGCACAAATGCAAAGAAAGCTCTTAAAACATGTGGTTATCCTAATTGGGCTTTCATCAAATCAGCAAAGAAGGTCAGACACCAGCTGGGGAGAAACAGAAGGACAAACACAACAACATTGTCATTCCTTATTTAGCAGGTTTGTGTAGCGAGGAGTGCTCAGACATTGGAGAAACCAAACAGCCACTTGATAAACGCATGGCACAACACAGAAGAGCCACCTCGACAGGACAACACTACAGCTGTACATTTGCATCTAAAGGTCAAAGGTCACTCTTTTGAGGATGCCAGTGTCTACATTTTGGACTGAGAAGACAAATGGAAAGAAGCCATCTATAGCTGTGTCCCAAAACGTCGGCTGCATCCTCCGGAGGCCGCATTTGAAGGCTGATTACGTCACGGCCAGGCGACGAAGGCTGTCCCAATTCGTCGACTCCTTCGAATGCGGCCGACAAATGCGTCCTTCATTTCCCCGAATTTGAAGGATGTGTCGGGTGTGTCCTTCGTGGCCCACCATATCCCAGAATTCATAGCGCAGCCCAGCCAAGTTTCAGCTGCCAACAATGGCGGCCGCTACTAAGTTTTAAAATTAGTCTTATTAATCTTTCTGCGTCACAAAATAAACTTTTAACATATTTTCAGGCCAGAAAGTAGCCGTGTAAATTACAAATATCTGCTTGGTTTATCAAGACATCGCATATTTGCCAAAGTGCGCCAACGTTTTCGGAGATGTCTGTTACCCACCAGCTCGATAGCAAGCCAGGGGTTCAATGGTCACTCGAGCCGGCGAGAGCAGCGGACTCCCGGCTTCATCGTTTTCAGACCCCCGCAAAGGCCGGGTCCTCCGAAGGATGCAGCCAACGTTTTGGGACACAGCTTATGTCCACTGTGAACGGCCATCTTTGAACAGAGACGGTGGGTTAAGACACCAACTGTCAGCCACCTACAGTCCAGTTTTGAGACCCCTTCCCTGATGCTGTAACGCCCACTCACACCTTGTGTCAGTTGATCTCTGTAGGTCACATGATATGATGAGACAAGGCCTCACAATGGTTTCACATGAAACCTCTGCCGATAATGACCCACACCCTTTTTCACATCTTGGCTCATGTGATGAGGAACATGATCAATAGTGGGTAAACGACTCTCTTAAGGAACAACTAGGGCTTAAATACCTGGGACTGTCCACCATTCGGTCCTAGAATTGAAGAAGCTTCTTGGATGAGAGGTAAAACGTCTTCAATAAACTTAGAGAAGTCCAGTCGCTTTTCTTTCCAAGCTCCTTAGATTACCTGTTGATTTAGATTGATTCTGACTGACCAACATAAGCATGGTGGTAAGAACAAACTTTACCAGTGTACACATTTTATAAATCCAGTGATAATTTCGCTTGTACAGTTATTTCTTGGACAGGTTAAGAACATTTCTATACACACACTATTCGCTAGGCCCAATATGATTATGGATACATATAATGTGAATACAAGAAAAAGCAAACTTTGAAAAAAATAACAGCAAAGAAGTGGATGTGCATGCAAATTTAGCCAAAGGTCAGATTGTGCAGTGCTCTGAGAAATTGCAAAAAACCTTCAGAGCTACATCTCAGA